CCGTGAGCCATGGCTGCTGGGCCTGCGTGTCCGGAGCCTGTGCTCCGCAATGGGAGAGGCCACAGCAGGGGGGGGCCCGCGTAACGCAAGAAAAAAAAAAAAAAAAAAAAAAAAAATTGTAGGGTAGTAGAACTCACTCTGAATATCCAATTCCTTAATTTTTACTATTGAAAACTAATTACCAAGTTTTTACCCCCAAATATTTTATTCAATAGCCAATTTAAATTTAATAATAGCAAATCATGGCAGAGCATTCTGACTCATACATGTAACTGCTGTAAACTGACTTATAAACCCTAATTGCTAATGACTCTGTTGGGGAAGGATGCAAGTCTTGCTTTGAAGTGGGTACAATACAAAACTGGGTGATCCCAGGTCCCTTTCTCTGTACATGTCTCCTAATTTCATAATCAGACTCAGGAACAGGAAGGGATATGGCAATGATGCAGCTAAAAGGCTCCTTCAAGATATTTCATTTCCCATAACTTTATTGTGATGCTTTCAAAGGGCAGAGCTTTCACTTCAATGATGTCATTTTGCTTTCCCAGGCCCAAATCAGAATAAATGGGAATGTGCCTAATGGCTTCTAAAAGCTCTCTGAACATGGTGGGGTGGAGGTAGGGGGAACAGATGGGCTTTTGAAGCCAGATGTCCCCATCCACGAATGGAATAGATACATTTCTGTACCTGTGCAGCAGTAAACCTATTTCTACTATTCTAGGTAGGTAACATTCCATGAAAGCACAAGTTAAAAAAATAAAATTGATTTTGGAATTCAGCCGCATTTAGAGAGTTCCATAAGAAACAGTAAAGGAATAATAACTAACTCCTACAAATAACTATGACAACAATAATAATAGCAGTAACTGATACTCTGTGTTAAAACCTTGACAGGTATTATCTCATTTGATCCTCACAGCAATTTTATGAAAGATAGGATTAACAACTCCATCTAACAGAGGAGGAAATCCAGACACTGGGTGTTAACCTAAGGTCATGTCAGTCAGGAAATAGTGGGGCCAGAATTTGAACCCAGGCAGTCTGATTCCATAGCTTACCTTCTAAACCAGTAAGCTGTAGTGCTTAACCCAGCTCAGGGGTTCACCTAAAGTAGTGAATACCTAAGTTTCTGAATAACAAGTATGACAAACTCAGTTCAGTTAATGGCAGGAAGAAAAAGTAGCCCTGAAATACATTTATTTGATATATATAAGACTGTCTCCTTGCCATAAATTAAATTAATTTGATTTCATTCTTATGACATGTCGCTATATATTTAAAATTAAAGAAAATAAGTTTGCCACATTGCTAAATTTGGGACAACATAAGGTATAACAGACAATACTCTTAAGAATGAGAAAAGTTTATTTCATGGGGTGACTTTCATAGTCACTAAACACAGAACAACTCGCACATTTCAATATTTTCTCCTGACAGCACAGATATTACACTGACTCTGATATTAATTTTTGTATATTATTTCTATGGTGGTATAAAGAACAGCTGCTCATCTGATTTATCTGCAGCTTAGCACAATCAACTACTTACGTTTTTAGTTCAGGACCATTAAAAGAAAACTCATACCCAAAGAGAGCTAAGAAGTTAATGAATCTACAGACCAGAACAAATTAAGACCTATTACCTATAAAGAGCCTGAAATGCCAATGTATTACATATCGGACACATGGCAACCAGCAATCATCGTGTAAAACACTGATATGTTGATGAGCCCAAAAATGGAATAGATCCTAGAAACTTGGGACCTTGTCCTTTTGGTGGCACTGTTGCTATGCACTAGTGTCGGAAAAACTACACTCACATGAAATTAACTGCCACCGAGCACAAAAAGCTTTGCTTTTCCATGATCAAGCTGCTAGAAATTTTGGGGTGAGGGAGAGAACTGAAGGCTAAATTAAAGGACAGGAGATAAGATAATCCTGCCATGTTAAAAGGTAAAGGCAATATTTTTCTGTTGTTACATAAAACATATGAAAATGGCAAAAGTGTTGCAAGGTTAATCAAGACCATAAATAACTTGTTGGAGAACCTCACCATATGCTTGTAATCCTATTAAGTGCATTTTGCCTCGTTTTTCTCCAGATATCATGCTCTGCAGTGTGCCATGTTGATGGATACATGTGAGGATTTTTTTTTTTTAACAAGCTGAGGAGTCTTACATGCTTGATATTAGGTTATGGAAATCGTTAACTTCAAGGAATGATGGCTTTGAGGCATCTGCTGACACGGTAGCATGCATACGAGGCATACTTTTCTTGAATCTAGGTTAGAGGTGGGACCGAGAAATAATGAAATATTGAAATAATGAGTTTATCTGTCAAGCTCCGAGGGGTCAGTCTGAATTCTAATGGTTAAGCTCACATCAAAACAAGCACAACAGAACCTCTGCCCATTCTTACAGCCCTCAGTGGTCATAAAAAGAGAAAATATCCTAGGAATCTTTTCTGACCACTCAAGTGGCCCTTTGAGGAGAACATCTTTGGGGGAGCAACATATTACAGTTAGCGTGAGCCTACTCTTTTAGGCACTGGGCACACGCATTCCATGTACACATTCAATTCCCACCATGCCAACACGAGGAAGGGCCTTTATTATTCCCATTTTATAGGTGATTGTGCTAGCAAATGGCAGAGCTGGGATTTGAGCCCAGGTTGGCTGACGTAGAGTCTAAATTCTTTTGGTCATCACTTGAAGCTGTTTCTATTAACAACTATTCCTCTTCCTAAAAAGAAACCACACCACACACACACACACGCACACGCACACGCACACACACACACACACACACCCCCCTCAAGACATAGTTTTATGCTGTCAATCAAAATCCTTCACCAAAATAAAATTCACTTAAGAATCCATTATAACTAATTCCTAGTTTTCTTCCTAAGGCTGCCTAGAGCCCAGTTTTTGAATAAATCTCACGAGGGCTACTCCTAACTGAACCCTGCAAAATTGATTACTTGTAGTCTGGTTTCCACAGAAGTTGTAAAGTACTGTTTTAATTGAATTTGGTTCTAAGTTGGAAACTTTGAAAAATTTGTCTGTCAAAGGCCAATGGTTTTCTCAGTAGGCTTGATTTATTTAGCAAGAGATGCCTACAAAAGCCAATTTGCTATGAGAAATATGGTTACATTTAATTACACTTTAAAATGACTAATTTATCATATCTAAACACCTTTTAAACAGTACATATTACTCTGAACTGTACAGATGCCGAGGAAAGCTGAGAAACCAAAGCTTGCAGTAAACACAACAGATTTTGCTAAAGACTGCATTTTGCTCTGCATTGGCTTCCTGGTGTGACTGCAGTGTTTCTAAAGTCATTAGGTAAAGATGCCAAACTGAATGTGACCTGCCTAAATCTTCTTTCTAAACTACTGGTCACCAAGTCCTGCCCAGAGGGAGATTTTTTCTTTGTGTGTATATTTAATATCCATTTATCAAATCTTAAATGTAAAATATTACTAGCATCATTCAGGACTTATTTAAGCAAAGCACAGGTGATGTTTATTTTGGAATTTTGATGAAACGACCTTACTGTAGAGTAAAACAGGAATCTTTTAATATTATTGATTTATTCAACCAACGACTAACAACCAGCAGCTACTGAGCGTGACCTCATGCCAGGCTCTGTGCTGGCTGCCAGTCCTGTGCCAGTCTTGTGTCTGCTCTGTGCCAGTCCTGCCTTCAAGGGGATTACAGCCAGGCCTGAGGGATATCGCTAATAATGGTTACCTGTGTGGTAAGTGCTATCACTGAGCCTGAAGATAACGGGAACCAGAGAAGGAAGAAAACAATTCTGTGCAGGAGGGAGGGTTTCATGAAGCTGGGACATCTGAGTCGGGCCTTGGAAAACAGGAGTGTTCAGTGTAGAGAAGAGGAATGCAGGGTCTCCAGGCAGAGGAAAGGGTATGGGCAATGGCATCGCTGACATGATGCGGACAAAAGGAATGACAGTGATGGGCAAGCTGCAGTGTAGCTAGAGTATGCAGCAGTGTTGTTGGGTGGGGGCTGGGTAGTGATTATGAGGGAAGTAAAAGTTCATTTCAAGTCCTATTCAAGGTGATGGAGAAACAAAAGCACAAAGAGGAGGTTATCTTGTTAAAGGAGAGAATTAGTTCTGCTCCTTTCAGAACTCAGAGTCCATAGCATATTGTACCAATCAAAAAAAATACATGGAGTGAATTTACGTGGGACAGATAAGCTAGGTTGTGGTGAGAGTTAGCATGGAGATAATCCTGGCTCTTGTGGCAGAAAGGAAGCTGTGTCTCTCAATGAGGCCTGGAGAAGGGTTAAAGAAGGCTTTGGAGCTAAGTCTTAAGGGATAATCAGGTACAAGGATATGTGCAGAGTGCCCTTAGGGAACTAAAACTGGGATTAAAGGATGGAGTGAAAGGTGGGGAGCAGTGAGAGATATGCCTAGAAGGGGGGCAGGTCTCAGATCACGGGGAGCCCTGTAGGACAGGCTAAAGAGGCAATGGAGAGTTATGAAAGGACTTCATGCAGGGAAGAGATCAGATCAGATCTGGGCTTTAGAAAGATAACTAGTGTGAATAATAATGACAACTAATCTTAATTTATTAATTGCTTATTATGTCTCAGATACAGCGCCAAGTGCTTTACAAGGTCACACAGCTTGGATTTGAACCTTGGCTATTTGACTTCAGAGTCGATGCTCCTAACCATCAGGCTACAGTGCTTAGACTGGAGGTACCTTAGTATTAGGAAACTGCTGAAGGAAGTTGGATAAGAAATGAAATGCCAGGGCTATGGTATTAGATAGGGAGGGTTAAAATGTAAAAAGGAGAGAGGATTCTCAGGATTTGGAGACCAACTGGGTACGGGAAATGAAGGAGTGGGAGAAGTGGAGATGTCTTCCAAATTCCTTGTTGAAGTGTCAGTGTGTAGGATCAGCATGGAGGATGGTGCCATCACTGTGATACAAGAAAAGCAGGATATCACTGTGATAAAGTTATGCCTTCTTTCATTTCTTCTTTTTCACTGCCCTGGTACAACTTCTAAAGAGAAAGTCATGAGCTCCCAGAAACACCATAGTGGTTCTTGTAAATTGCTCTATTTAAACTCTAAATGAGCAACAAGATGCAGGGTTCATTAAGGAATGTACTTTTCCATTTGGTGATAGTTCCAACATTGAAATAGACTGAATTTGATGTAATAATAAACATATCTTATGAATACCAAAGGTAGGTTTTTCAATTATTTTCTCTGTCTAAAAAAATAGACTGTTTTCAATTTCTCATTTGGTCAAATAGAGGCGTTATTAAGTTCATTACCAATGGTTATTTTTGGCTGTGTACTTTTAGAGCAAAGTAGTCGTCATGCATGAGGACTTCAGTCCTTGCCAGAACAGGACAGTGATGAGGACACGGTACCCAGGGCAACCAAGAGTTCAGCCTTTTCAGTCTTAAATAATCATTTTTCAGCTTTGCTCTTTGTAATGTTGGGTCTCTGAGCTACTTCAGGACAGTATGACCTTGTTCAGGAGGCCACTGCTCTCTTTCTTACTTTTGGTTTAAATGACTGCTAAGAAATATTTTATAAGAAAGGAATATTTCGATTCCATTGTAAACTGCATTGGCAAAAATCTGCAACTTACTCTTATGTTCTTAGCCCTGGCTATAAGAATACTCTGAGTAACTAGCACACAGGGGTATTTTTGCTGGGTGGGTAGATACTCTTTGGGACCAAGGCTGCTTGAGGTGTTATGTATGCTTGATCATTCAGTTTAATGAAAGCACAACTAAGTAAGGCAAGAGAAACCTGGAGAGTGGGCAAGGTGGGAAAAAAGAACCCTGAGGAAAAATTAATATCATTTTCCCCCCCACATCTACTTAGAACCAATTTGAATTCCTCCTCCATGAAGACTTGTAAGTTCTCTCCAAAGCAGAAATCTCAACTTCTGCTAGATATTGGTAGCACTCATTTGACAATTAAGTCACAGATCGAGAAGTCACCATATCATGGTGTTTGGAAGCTTAGAATTGAGAGTCATGCCAAACTAGTTCTGTGTCAGTTTACTCAAGAGCCTCAATTTTCTCATCTGGAAATGGGAACTCGATAGAGCTTACCACATAGGATAGCAGTAAGGAGTAAGTTAGAAACACAAGGCTCAGTGTCAGGGCCTCTGAGATTTCTAACATCTACAAAGAAGTTAGAGATCTGGGAAAAAAATTTACTTTAAAATAGAAAAAGAAAACTGAAAAATTGATATTTAACTAAATACTTAAAACAACATATCCACCATCAACTACACTTAAACCCAACCTTTATGTAATTTTATATAAGCATGAATCAAAGTTGCACCATTTTATATTTCCTTTCAAAAATTGTCAGGTAAAAAAGTTATATTTACTGTTGGATGAAAAGTGCATTTTAATATGTTTGATCTGATGTTGAATGTAGCATTATAAGTAAATGTTCCTTCGGCCTATGGAGATCTTAAAATGTTTTGAAGTGCTTAAAGAAATGGTAGCTCTAATTACCATTATTATAATAATGATTTTATTATTCTGTCTCATGACATTTCTTATGTGGCACAGGACTGTTCCGTGGATGTTTCTGCTTTGTCTCTCCAATTAAACCATACGATCCTTGAGGATCATAGAGGAGAATGGACTGAGTCAAGACACTGGACTTTGCTCTGGGCTCTACCACTGACCAGGTATGGACGCTTGAGCCCAGAATTTAGTTTCTTCACCTGAAAAACAGGAAGACTTTGGCCTGCTTCAGGCCATCTGCTGGTCTATAGAGAGAATGATGGGTCATATTTGAAAGGGCTTTAACTGTATGAACATATAGGAAAATACAAGCTGCTGAAGCATATGCAGTGCCTATCACGGCCCTTAGGCACAGGGAGGGGTCAGCATAAATCCGGTGACTTCTACAGAAGGTTCTTTGCTGCTGCCATATACGAACCAATACTTCACATATCTATAGTCTCCTCCTTTCTGTGCGTTCATTTAACAGACACTTCTCTAACAAGTGTTGAGCCTGCTTTATGTGCCAGAATTTGTGCTAGGAGGTGGGGATACAATGAGATACCCAGAGTCTACAGTAAAATTATTCTTTTTCTTTCAGTGTATAGTTTTATATATCACCACACAATGAACATACCTTATCTGAAGGTAAATAAGACGATTTAAGACAAGACAATGCCCCCAGACTTAAAACACTATTTCAGAATAGATTTCATAGGAGTGTCCTCATTTGGCCCTAGTTTTCCCAGGCAAGGCTGGGCTTTGTGACAAAGGCAGTAAACAAAGACGCAAAACCCTGGACTCACGGGGGGCAGGCAGGAGTTCCAGGTGGTTGTGTCATCACTGCTGGTACTTATGCTGACATTACAGTTGTCAACCTGGGATGCGCTCAGGCCATGGGGAGCCCCAGTGTCCTCCAGTTCTTCGTTCTGTTGCCGCCGTAGGCTTGCTAGCATTTGCAACTCGGATTCACTCATCTGGCTGGGTTGATAGTTTCTCCAGTCATATTCCTGACCAACAGAGAAGAAAGTGACACAGCAAAGGGTCACTTGGCCTTTCGTAATTTTATGGGCTACCAATAAACGCTACTCTACAGCCTTAACCCCTTCAATGGCTCCCAATGGACAGAGGCCCAGATCCTTAATATGCCTTTATATGATGCCTATGCCGGCTGCCTCGCCTTGTCTTTTCCCCCTGACGTGTCAGCCACACTTCATTTAGGTCCTCAAAAGCATTGAACTCGTTTGTCTTGGTGCCTGTGTACATGCTAGTTCCCTGTGTGCTAATTCCTAGGTATCCCTTAGGGCCCAAGTGTCACTTCCTCAGAAAAGCTTTTTCTGACAACCCCAAACTGGATCAGTTCCTCCACATCATGTGCTCTCACCGAATCTCAGAGTGTTCATTTTTAGCGCTATCACAATTACAGTTATGTAACTGCTTTTGCAGTCCACAGGTAGTCTAAGAGTGCTACAAAGGCAAGCACCATGACTGTCTTACTGTATTTCTCACATCTGGTGCCCAACCAGTATTCGAGGATTGACTAAATAAACAAAAATTCAAAGCAGTTTCTAAAAAAGAAAAATAACTTTCCATAAAAAAGTCCAGTTTACAAGAGAATTGATCATTTTCATCAGTGTGAACATTATGAGCAAATAAATTCAACTTACAGTAAGACTGAGAATGACTAATGCTGTTAAAAGCCATCAAATAAAATATGAACTGAAGATAAGAACACGTAAGGTCTGAAAGCCAGAAAGACCTTGGAGCTACCATAAACGCTTATACTCACATGGACTTCACTAAATGTGTAATCTGTCAAGACTACTACTACAAATCTTTAGAGGCTAGTATAAATATTATTTCAATGTACAGGGAAGAAACTGGCATATGGAATTTTCAAGCCCTTTCCTTTCTCTCTGGTTTAGACCAAATTTGGTAGCTAACATTAACTTCAACATTGCTGAAATGTTAGCATCACATATGAATGAGCAGTGTGATTTACATCCAGGACTGGCATATAACTTGAAAACAATCTCGAAATATTTTGGTACATCTAGAATCAGTGATTATGCTCAAAAAGCTTTTGTCCATGACACACTAGAATTTTTAAGATATTCAAATCTCTACACTTATTTTCTTGGAAGACCCTTTGAGATGGCTACTGCCTTCTTTTCTGCCTCATAGGGATGTAAAAAGTTAAGAAAATATAATTTGGAAAAAAAATTCTTGGTGTTTCTATGACATTAAAAGCTTTTTAATAAAGCATTATCATCATCATAACTTGGGGGTTATGAAAGCTTGTGATCTAATAATGTGATGTGGAGATTTCCTGGAAAGTTGCCGGTGGAAACTCGCTTAAATTCTTACAGTTCATGGCTCCAGCAGCTTGGCACCCTGAGAAGTCATGCAATCTCTAATAAGAGACTCTACTCCCCAAAGCAATCTATAGATTCAATGCAATCCCTATCAAACTACCACTGGCATTTTTCACAGAACTAGAACAAAAAATTTCACAATTTGTATGGAAACACAAAAGACCCCGAATAGCCAAAGCAATCTTGAGAACAAAAAATGGAGCTGGAGGAATCAGGCTGCCTGACTTCAGACTATACTACAAAGCTACAGTAATCAAGACAGTATGGTACTGGCACAAAAACAGAAAGATAGATCAATGGAATAGGATAGAAAGCCCAGAGATAAACCCACGCACATATGGTCACCTTATCTTTGATAAAGGTGGCAGGAATATACAGTGGAGAAAGGACAGCCTCTTCAATAAGTGGTGCTGGGAAAATTGGATAGGTACATGTAAAAGTATGAGATTAGATCACTCCCTAACACCATACACAAAAATAAGCTCAAAATGGATTAAAGACCTAAATGTAAGGCCAGAAACTATCAAACTCTTAGAGGAAAACATAGGCAGAACACTCTATGACATAAATCACAGCAAGATCCTTCTTGACCCATCTCCTAGAGTAATGGAGATAAAAACAAAAATAAACAAATGGGACCTAATGAAACTTCAAAGCTTTTGCACAGCAAAGGAAACCATAAACAAGACCAAAAGACAGCCCTCAGAATGGGAGAAAATATTTGCAAATGAATCAACTGACAAAGGATTAATCTCTAAAATTTACAGGCAGCTCATGCAGCTCAATAACAAAAAAATAAACAACCCAATCCAAAAATGGGCAGAAGACCTAAATAGACATTTCTCCAAAGAAGATATACAGACTGCCAACAAACACATGAAAGAATGCTCAACATCATTAATCATTAGAGAAATGCAAATCAAAACTACAATGAGATATCATCTCACACCAGTCAGAATGGCCATCATCAAAAAATCTAGAAACAATAAATGCTGGAGAGGGTGTGGAGAAAAGGGAACACTCTTGCACTGCTGGTGGGAATGTGAATTGGTTCAGCCACTATGGAGAACAGTATGGAGGTTCCTTAAAAAACTACAAATAGAACTACCATATGACCCAGCAATCCCACTACTAGGTATATACCCTGAGGAAACCAGAATTCAGAAAGAGTCATGTACCAAAATGTTCATTGCAGCTCTATTTACAATAGCCCGGAGATGGAAACAACCTAAGTGCCCGTCGTCGGATGAATGGATAAAGAAGATGTGGCACATATATACAATGGAATATTACTCAGCCATAAAAAGAAACGAAATTGAGCTATTTGTAATGAGGTGGATAGATCTAGAGTCTGTCATACAGAGTGAAGTAAGTCAGAAAGAGAAGGACAAATACCGTATGCTAACACATATATATGGAATTTAAGAAAAAAAAATGTTATGAAGAACCTAGGGGTAAAACAGGAATAAAGACAGAGACCTACTGGAGAACAGACTTGAGGATATGGGGAGGGGGAAGGGTGAGGTGTGTTAGGGCGAGAGAGAGACATGGACATATATATACTAACAAACGTAAGGTAGATAGCCAGTGGGAAGCAGCCGCATGGCACAGGGAAACCGGCTCGGTTCTTTGTGGCTGTCTGGAGGGGTGGGATAGGGAGGGTGGGAGGGAGGGAGACAAAGAGGGAAGAGATATGGGAACATATATATATGTATAACTGACTCACTCTGTTATAAAGCAGAAACTAACACACCATTGTAAAGCAATTATACCCCAATAAAGATGTTAAAAAAAAATAAAAAAAAAATAAAAAAAAAGAGATTTCATGAGTATTTAATACGCTTTGAGAGTTCTTGGGACAAAACAGATATCACAAGAAGAAAAACAAAGTTTATATTCCAATGAAAAACACTTTAAAAAAGAAGAAAATAAAAATAATTTAAATTCCAAAGAAATAGGGGAGCAATAAACAAAAGATGCTCAACATCACTGTTATGAGAAAAAATAAATCAACATGACAATGAGGTACCATTCACATCCACTAGGATTGTTATAAGACAAAATATAGACAGTAATAAGTGCTGGAGAGGATGTGGAGAAACTGTAATCCTCATACACCACTGGCTGTGAATATGAAATGGTGCAGCCACTGTGGAAAACTGTTTGGTGGTTCCTCAAAGTGTTAAACATGGGCCATGTGGCCCAACGATTCACTTGTAGGGATATATGCAAAAGAAATGACAATATATGTGCATACAAAAACTTACACACAAATGTTCATAGCAGCAATGTTCACAACAGCCCCAAAGTGGAAACAACCAAATGTCCATCAACTGATGAATGGATTTTAGTTTATCCATACAATGGAGTATTATTGGCCATAAAGATACATACTACAACATGGATGAACCTTGAAAACATTATGCTAAGTGAAAGCAGCCTGAAGCAAAAGGTCATAGATTGTATGATTTCATTTATGTGAAATATACAAAAAAGGCAAATATATAGAGATAGAAGAGAGACAGGTGATTGCCCAGGGACTGGGGAAAGAGGGAATGGGGAGTGATCTCTAATGGGTATGGGGTTTCTCTCTGGGGTGATGTAAATGTTCTGAAATTAGGCTGTGGTGGTGGTTATAGAATGTTATGAATATACTAAAACCCTGAACTTTATGGTACATGAATTATACCTCAATTAAAAAAAAGTAGTTCAGTAATCAGATGTGAAAACAACACTAGCCATTTGACTTTGGGATCAATAGTAAACATGTGACTTGCTGTCCTTCACTTCAGTTTTTCTGTCAAGAAATGGAACTAAACATTCTAACGTGTCACATAGGTATGTTATTTGGCTTGCATTGACAATACATGCTTTTACAATGAAAAAGGAAATTTTATTTTCAAAATTTTTCTTAAGAATAAAGCTTTTATATGTACTTAGTATGATTAATTCAGCCATCTGATTTGTTTATTTAATCCACAAGCCTATACTGTGCCTGGGGTACAACCCTAGATGCTAAGACAGAAAAACAAGAGAGAATGCTGCAGTGGTTAAGCCACACATATCTGAGTCCAGGCCCTGGTTTCATCATTTACCAGCTGTATGTGACCTAATCTCTCTGTGCCTTAGTTTCTTAATCTATAAAATGGAACCATAGTGTATACCTCATGGGATTTTTGGTGGACTAAAATAATGTATATCAAATGCTTAGCATAGTACCTGACAAACAGGTATACTAAGTGTCTCCAAACTTAACGATTTTGTGCCTTTATCAGAACGTGTTTGAGTGTGTACCTTCCAATATATGTTTATTTATAAAATTAAACAAATGTACAACTATATTAAAATAGTATGTATGGTATGAAACATACACACACAAAAAATAGAAATGAAAATGGTTGAACTTAAAAAAATAAATGTAAATAGTGTGAAGCTCAGCTGATTCTTTTTGATACACCTCTTCTGGGGTGAGTACATCCCTCTTAGGAGACCTCTGGGCTGGCAATCAATACATATGCTCCCTGTTATTATTATTCTTTCCTCTCATTTTCTTTGGCCCCTTTCATCCATTCTGTACTATGCTAGGAGCTGGGAGTATAAAGAAAATGAGACATATCTCTGTCCTCATGGAGCTC